AAAAACATGAAACAATAAAAATGTATGACCTAGTAATGTTCAAGCACTGTACCTGTCAGGCTTCCCTTCCAGGCAGGAATAGAAATCTCAACTCTCCTGACATTGACCTGACTCCATGATTCAAAACTAAAGATGGAATCTGGATGGATGGATGGATGGATGGATCTACCTACCTACCTACCTACCTACCTACCTACTTACGTAGCTACTACTCATTCCAGGGTTTGAACCTTAAGTTTCTTTTTCCTGTCTTTCTGATGCAACAGATATTTTGGTGCTCTTTTCAAGGCTGGGGCCATAGTAGTAGCTGAGTTATGTTGACTTCTCACATATATCAGTTCTCTTGAGGATGGAAAATCCTAATTCCTATTTCACCAGCTTCCCTCCTAGCAGCATCTGTATATTTAGTTCAGCTTAACTACACATTTCATAAACTGAATGATCTAAAGCATTTCTCTATTTTTTTTGTTCCTCGCTTCCATTTCCCAAAACATACCCAAGTGAGAAATTTTGGGTTCAAATTAAGTTGAAAGTAACAAATGACTCAATAAACATTTTGCCCATATTTACTCTTACTAAATTCATTTCATCTCTTTGTATTAAATGGCAGTGGCAACCCCTAGTACAGATCAAAAGGATGGCATTAGTTCCATAAACTATTTTCTTTATAGTTGCTTTAAAAACAACAAGGATTTTAATGGCATTTTTCAAGCTGAAGTGAACTAGAATTATTCTGTGAAAGTCTTATAATTGAAGAATACCTTAAGGAGCCTTGGAAATGAATCACTAAGTTGCATTTCAAATTCTGGCTGACATATTTCACAGCTCAGTTCTAGTCAAATGACAACCAAGTATACAATACTGCATGTCTGGGTTGCAAATAGTATTTATGGAACTTCAAAATAAAAACAAAATGACCTTTGCTATTGTTGGAGCATTCTAGTGTTTTGTTGTTGTTTGTATGGTTATTTATTGACTTGTTTCAGAATAAAATAAATCTTATTAATTATACAATGTAGCATAGACTAAGACTGCAACATACTCTTGAGAGCCATAATGTTTTAAATTTATCACTACCTGAAATGTAAAAATCAATCAATGAATCAGTCAATCAATCAGTTCAAACCTCTTCCCTCAATACCCTGTAATCTGAATGTACAGGTGCAAACAGTCATTCTGAGTACGCTATGAGAGAGAGGAAAGGCTTTTGACTGTATGCATTTCACAGCTCTGCAGAGGCAGCTGCCTTATAACAGAAATCCTTTAAGAAGGTGATGATTTGACAATCTGCTGCCTTTTAAAAAACCTGAGCAAAAACAGCTGTTTAATAATCACTGAATATGTATTGTCTTCGAAGGGGCTGATCTGAAGTTCGGTCACTCCCAGCAAAAGTTAATTCTCCTAGCATGGTATATTATTTTAATCAGTTAGAAATATGGTAGACCCAAAGATGAATAGCGTTTTTGTAGGGAAATTGCAACACGCAACAGGCTGCTATTTGTTGTTTGCCATGAGATTTAACTAGCTGCATTTGTATTCACTGCTCAGATAACTGTACACAGGCATCATAATATTATAGCAAATTAAATACGTACAGTAGATAAGATAGATGTATCATACTGGCAACTGCAAATGCTACAAACCAGCAAGAACCCAATGGGGTGTTAATCATACAAGCTCAGATCCTGGAACAAATATCAGAGAATGTGGCATTTGTCTATCGCGTGGTGAACAGCAGCATTCTTTTACTGCTCTGAGCAAAAACTTTACTAGCTGAACATTGCCCAGTTATTAGGATAAGAAACTAATGTTTCAGTATTGAAACAGAATAACTTTACTGAAACGATATGAGCTTATGCAGCTATTCCTACTTTTACATTAATGGCATTATTTACACTTTAAACTATAAGATACTCTTTTGACTGAAGAAAGGCTAATAAGTATCATAAGAAAGAAATACTGCAGTTCAATAAACTCCTAATAATAATTGGTAACAATGATCAGGTTGTAGCCGCTCAATGTGCAATTCTTTGCTACCTAGAAGATACTTAAATAATAACTTAAACATTCCTACAACTACCAAATATTTGAATTGGCAAAAACATTCACTTACTAAGTCCTACTTTTATTGAGATTTTTCCCAGTATGCTCTTTAGCTTTCCATCCAGCTATATTCCTTTTTAAAACCTTCTATTTCAGTTATGCAGAAGACAGAAGCATTGTCTTCTATTCTAACTACACAGTTAATGATCATGTAATCCCATAAATTCTAATTAGTCAGGAGATTTCATTTCAAATCACTTATCCAATTTGACTCCTTTGAAATTCAACTGTGTATGGGTTTTTAGTTATAGATAATTAAATAGGGATACTTCATAACCATTCAGAATAATAAGAGGTCTACAGTAGCTCTCATCCTCTTTGCACTGTTGTTTTCAAATAATATACCAATGGCATCTACTGCATGTTTATGTTCAAAAGAAGGGCTTGCATTGCAAGGCTTTATCCATTATTTTGCTGATTTTGACCCCCTGTGAATGCTGCTGAAATGTGCATGTTTCCTCCACTCTGAAAGTAAAGTGTATTAAGTTTCTGAACAGATTTTAGGCTGTCGATTTCTCCAAAGTCTATGCTATTTAATGTGAGCTAATGTACATTTAAAATACATATGTCCTTGCTACAGACTTGTGCTGAATAGCTCATATGGATGTACATGTTTCTAAGGATCTCTACCAAGAGATACAAGCCACTGAAACAGGAAATTAAAAGAAACTTTTTAGAAAACCAAGGATTAATTATTATAGTGCACAAGAAAAATCTGCCATTCCAGAGGTTCAGACTAGGTTCAGGTCTTCAAGTCTTTGATAACTCCTGATTGGGTCTATTATTTATTGTCTTGATTTGATCTATGAAACCTTGTTGTTATTTCCTCAGTATCAAGTTCAATATGTTTCTAGGATCTTCCAATAAAATGTTCTGTCATGAGTGTATTCAGTTATACATTAATCACAAACTGCTTCTAACACAACTTCCACTGAAATTTAATTGATAAAATTACACTGCTACTTCTGACATTTTTAAAGTCTTTTAACACTGTAAAATCATATCACATTAGACACCAGAAATGAAAACATTTGTACAATTAAAATTACTAGCATATAATATAAAAAGGTGACACTAAAATTTATTGACATTTTCAGAATAGAGTTGTGTGATTGTCACTTCATACTCCAGCAATTTCCAGCAGGGCAAGAAAGGTTGTTCTGTTTGTTTGTTTGTTTGGGGTTTTATTACTGTTTTCCTAACTGGCCAATTAGCCAGCTAGAATTCTGTTCTGCTTTCTTTCTGTTAAAAAGAAAACAAAAAAAGGTTTCCTAAGTTCTTCCTTGGATCTGGGAAGATTTGCATAATCTTTAGTAGCAGTATTCAAAATTAAAGTTTCTTTATACATATCAGAGATACAGGTTACATGCATGTAACTACCACAAACAAACTACTTGGCTAGATGTGATTGAACACATTCCCTTTGGGAGAGGAAAAAGTCAAATATGGTTAAGCAATGCTACTTCCCCCTAAATTGAAAATAAAAAAATAACATTTATTCATTCTTACCTATGACTTTTTCTATGAGTTCTGTGTATAGCATTCCATAATACACTTTTTTGGTCAGGGGGATATTACTTTATGCAAACTTCTGAGTGGGGAGTGATCGATAGTATCAGTCCATTCATTGATGCTGTTGACATGAGTCTCTTTTGGCAAACTACTGTTTAATTCCCACTGAAGCCTGGGGCTTTTTATATCCTACTGTTTTCCAGGACTGAGCATTGCTTTTGATTCAAAGGCAAAAAGATGCTTTGGAGTGCACAGGCGCACAAACTCTGCACCTGTCTGCAGCTCCTTAAACCAAATGAGCCTCTTCCCAGGATGCGTAGCAACTGTGTAGTCCCAGAATAAAATGGATCTGCTTTAAGGAGTTGCAGACGGATGGACTGCTAAGCAATACTTGTGCTTAGCGGCCTTTCCTTCAAACCATTTGTTAAATACCTCTTGGTTATTTTGTTATATTTGTTACAACAAATCAGATTTATTTTTTTTTGGTGCAACCATTTTAGATATCTCCCATTTTTCTTGTAATAGTTATTGTATCTTCATTGATTCCTCCTCAATATTTTTTTCTGGATTCCTGTCTCTGTTAATATATATGTAGTCATAGAATACAGTTTAGTATTTTTCCTGAGCTTACTAAATTCAACTTTCTTGAAATCCAAGCATGTACTCCCAGACCATATTTTTTTTTAAATGCAGCCTTCCTCAGTATCAAAGCTAGATTCCCC